CCATCTAGTATAGCCTCTTGTACTCACAAGGGCCAACCTGATGCCCATGGGAAGTCCACACGCAGACCTTTGCACAGGACCACTCTCCCCTCCTGTGGTTCCCAGGAACTGATATTCAGAAACATTACTGCCTCCAAATGTAATTTATAGGGCTAATGTGAAACCTGCTGAACTCATGCATTTGCCTAATTGGAGAACTGGAGCTTTTTCATACATCCAGCTTGGGCATAAACCCCAAATTGGAGTCTGCTGGTTTGGGAATGGGGGAGAGGATGGCAGTAGCGGCAATTTCCACTTCTTTCCACCCCATTCTTTTACATGCTAAAATCACAACCTTTACGATTAAAACCAACTTATTTATGGATCTACAAACCTGTAAGAACTTTGGGAATTTAATAAATTTGATTAGAGGATTATGTGCATTATCAGGATACAAAATTAATCTCCCAAAGTGAGAATGGAGGAACTTTAATATGGATAATATTGCAAAAGGGAAAAAAATAGATAAACAATACTGGATCCCATTGAAAGACACTCCAGTAAGATACTTTGAAATACGGATTACACAGATACAGGAAAAGGAACTCAGTGTAACCGAGAAAAACAGTAATGAGCTCAGATATTAACATGACAGCAAAGTGACAATGAGCTCCTCTTTTTTTATTTGTTCTGGAGTACCTGTTGCTCATCAGTCACCTTCATCCTGCCTTAAACCTGTTATTTTGCATGGCTAATGGAGAGCCAGGATTAGCAGGGCCAAGGATCTTTCTCTTCCGTGTGTGACTGCATGTCCTCATTGTGCATGTTTATGCCTCTATTAGGAACTAGATGAAGGTGAAAACACTCCATAATGGAACCACAAATGAGATACAAACCTTGACATTTCCCATTCTGCTGCAGCACTTGCTTTAAAAAAAGCGAGAGAAAACGATTAAGCCATAGAGTAGACTTCCTTCCCCCTTTCTTTGTGTCATTTTTAAATGGAGGGATATTGCTCATCACGCAAAAGCATTGCAGTGACAGAGCCATTGTGTGCTCAGGTCCTCTCTGCTCCAAAGGACATCACAGAAACACTGTAAAGCATATTCCAAATGGCTAACCTTGTGTCTAGATTTTCACCTTGAATTCAGTTTAGTTTTCCATTCAGACTCAGCATTTAGGAGTATTCACAAAATTTTCTGCTACGGACAGCCCTAAGAGGTGGCATTCTTTCCTTGTGTAATCTTATTTCTCTCAGCCTGAAACTGCCTGAATATTTGTGTCACTGTAGCAAAGATATCTGCTTTAAACTTTTTGAGACTGTACATTCCCTCTATCCAAATGCTACTCAATCCAGCTCAGTGCTATGTATTTGTGTATATTTGTAGGTGGATAGGGAATCACCTGTACCATGATGTGAATGATTTTCCAGCCCAGTCCAACTGCTGTGGCTGCATATGCACAACCCTGTTTAGGAGCAGAATCAGGGAACAGATTAAGTCCCCCTTCCCCTTCCCCACCCAACTGCTGATTGGTTGGACTTCAGCTCTCTCCCCATCCATGGCAGTAGCCAGGAAGGGCAGGGGGCAGCTGCCCCTCAACCAAGTAAATAAATAAAAATATTTAACTAAAAGTAGAAATTTTAGAAAGATTTTGACAGATATTTCTGAGCACTTGGGTTCAAAATAAAGTAATTTGAAATAACCGTTGTT